CAAGTCGCGTTCTTGAGGATCGTGGAATAAATTATGTTATCATAGATGCTTTTAAATAGTAGAGACTAACTCGTTACGAAGATTTTTCATTTTCTATGAATTAAAAATCTGCCCATAAAGAAGTCGAAACATTTGACTTTGTTAGACGTACAAATTGTTGGTAATGATCTGATTCTTAAAATTAGTAAAAAGATGAATTGTATAAAGCTTATACGGCGATCTTGCAAATCTACTGGATTTTTAGACAGTTGTAGGTAATAAACGGTTCTCGACTTCTCACTATAACGACTAACACTCCTGAAGATGTCGAGAGCCATTTCCCTATTACGACAACCCCAGAGCTCGAAAATCCAAGAAGCTTGGCAAATAAGAATATCACACGTTAATACTTTCGGATAGTTTGCAATATTATCTGTAGTTTACGATATTACACATTTAATTGAAATACTTTTAACAGTGTCTATAATTTACGCGAGTAGTACACATTTAAATAAAACAGTTTAACGGTTTAAAACGCGATATATTAGTTAAATTTTAAATGATTTTTAACTTCGGATGCTTTGCAGCAGCCGTGGTCACGGAGGAGTGTCTCCCCAATCTTTTAATATTAGTTAAAGTTATTTAAAAATGAATTTTCGCGTTTTAAACCGTTAGCGTTTTATTTAAATACTTTTAACAGTGTAAAACCACAAATATATAGGTTATCTTTTTACAATTTATTTTAACTACAGTCCGACGTTTCGAATACTTTGTAGCAGCGGTAGGTCCTTAGTTAAATAAATTGTAACTAAACCTATACATTTTTCCTTTCAAACCGTTAAAAGTCTTTTATTTTTTTAACAATGTGATAATATCGCCGTCTGGCTAGGCCATCACTAGTCTCAATGGAGCTGTAATTCCGTACTCAATTTAGAACGGCTATCGACGAAACCAACACGTCCATAATGTATTTCGAAGGATGTTGTCTTAGGAAATATATTGATTCGTCTATATTTAATTAGATCTTCTATAAAGCTTTCATGACTGGGTGACTTAATAAAAAATAAATATAATCTATAATTAACGTAAGTGCTATTAACAGTTTAAAAATGCGAATAATATTGGTTAGCTTATAGGACTTTCGAAGGCTTTGCGGCAGTCGTGGTCACGTGATCATCCAGTATCGTCGAATCGTAGTGAAAAATATGTTTACTAATACATTTCGCGTTTAAAACCTTAGATAGTTCTTTTTTATTTAAAATTAATTTTAATTAAAAATTCAGTTTTAGTCGTTATTGATGTGTTTTCGAAACGAAGTATACTTTTTTTTTCTCACCGTCCGAGTTTTATGTTGCTTAAGTCATATGTACAGGAACTTGTACTAGCAAAGTAACTATATAGACGTTAAAACGTTTAAGGGATAAATTACACGATAGAGATTTTATTAATTCCACTAAGTGATCTTTCGTGTCTAACTAGACAGAGGCCATAATACATTTTAATCAGTCTGATTTCCAATTGGAATATATTTTAGTATCAGGCAGATAAGCGAACAGTAAAATTTTTACAACCACCCAAGTGTATCTTCATTAAGTGAAATTTATTGGGAGATAATGAAATTACGTCGGCTTTAAATAGCACTGTATCGCTATGCGTATCTTTATGACACACGACTGCACACGTAGGGACGTCCATACTTTATGCGTGTATAAATTAACGGATTCAAACACGACTTGTTCTTAAAAAGGTATCTTAAAGGTAAGGCAATGTAAAAAACGAGGATGAATCGTTTGCTTTTGATGGAGTGCCTCAAAGTTTTATGTTTCTCAAAAATCGTTGTACGTTATAAAAATCGAACCTGCACCTCACATGAAATGTACTTAATAACCACTTAAAATGTCACATACAGTGGCTTGGGTAGAGGCGATTTACAACAAATTTGACTGTCTTGATTTTACAATGCTATCATGTATGACAAAAGTTCAGTGCGTTGTGAATTAGATTCCCACCGGGTCTAACATCAGTTTATGTTATCCACGTATCACTGAAAATGCAGCAACAGCTGAGTGATGTCCTTCCGCAGCAATGTTAGTGTATATAATAATTGTAAACCATTTATTTATTTATCTATAATTTGTTTAATTATAATATTGGGTGTGGATTACATTATTTGATTTTTTATTTTTAGTCCATTGTTTGTAGCCCTTGTTAAAAAAGAAAACGAAATAAAACACTTTAACGGTTTAAAACGCGAAACGTTTCGGATGCATTGCAGCAGCCCTGGTCACGGGGAGACTGAAACGTCGGGCCGTAGTTAAAAATAATTTTCAAATAAGTTTAACAATTATATCTCGTTTTAAACCGTTAAAGTGTTTTATTTAAATGTGTACTACTCGCGTAAACTATAGACAGTATTTCAAATAAAACTATATAATAATTTAGGTACCTAAACAAAAGCCGAAAGCCTGTCTTTAGTGACTGTCAATCACTTTCCATTACAATTGTATTTGTGCAAAATAGTACAAATCTGTGCTACAGATAAAAAAGAAAATGGACGGCGTCTTTAAAAATGACGTCAGAGGTGCCAGGAACATCGTCCATTGTTGTCTGTGGCCTGCAATCTTCGCTGACCTTCGCATCATGTTAACTAACTTGCCGGCCTCTTTGAAGTTTCAATGTTTTTTAGTTTACATTGTTTATTTCAAAGTACCGTATGGCAAGTTCAATCAAGATAACGTCGCAAGTATAAAGTTCATTGTACAAACTGTCTCTCTTTATTCCATTGTATTGAAGCTAATAGATGCGTTCAGTTTTTTTTCACAAGATTACTAGGTCAAGTATAATTTTTGAGTTGAGTTCAGGTCTGGATTTCCGAACATCCAAGCCAGAATAAGTCAGCGCATCGTGTTAGATGTTATATTGCTTATTTTTGTACCGCCTCGTAGCTAAATGGTTAAACGTGTTGCCTAGCATTGTGTTAAGCGCAAGAGGAAACAGTAAATTGTTTCGGTCGGGCAGGGCACAGAAGTCTGATCAATTACTTGGCTGTAAATAAAACCGCTCAGTGAAACGGACACACAAATGTGTTCGCCCTATGCCCCACGAGGGGGAAACGGGATTTTACACTAACTTTTATGCTTGTCCGCCCCCCTCTGTACTTATAACATTAGACTTACAACTAAGATGACAGAAGACAAAAACTTAGATGTATTCTTGTATGAATATGTATGAAAGCTTTCGTTAAAGTAATATCCCCTTTGTCACAAACACATCCAATAATCTTTCATCGTATAAGCCAAGCTTATTTCCTGAGTGACTCAACTACCAGAAATAGCTCCATCCCTTCACTTTGACGAGGATCTGTGGCGACTTATCTCACGTGACATTCGAGGTTGGACGGATTTAGACTAGTTCTGTTTTTATTTCTCTTTTTTAACTACGCCTGCGGTGTTGGTTCCTGCGATTTCATTTTTTTATTTCCTTTTTTTAATGGAACTTTAGTTAAGCATTGAATCTATGATCTTTGGATAAATAAATAGAAATAAAAAGGCATGTATTTCCTTAAAAAATTGTTATGTACAGTTATCGGATATTTTATAATGAAGTTAATGTTTGTAAATAGCTAATTTAAATAATAAAAAAACTATTTTTTTTTATTTTTATAAGAAACCCTGTCAGGTGTAGGCCTCTCGATTTTAGCTAGTTTTTGCTAAGAGCCATGATATTTCTAACAGTTTATAATTATTGCACAATTGATAAAAACTAATACAAGAAAGCCTAAAATAAACTAGAATGTAATGTAATGCAACGGACGACCTTTTCGCTATAAAATAAAGAAAAGACAAATTCCTTTTATGGAGTTAACACAATTTGATTTTGATTTTCATTCTCTTTTCTACCATCATAGTAAAACCTAAGTACTCATATTGCATTACTTATTCTTTTTAAACTTTAATTTTTTGAATTGATATCGAAATGTGTTCGATTCTAGAGTCTATGTTCTAAAAAAGGACATAACGAAATCGGATGCTATCGAAATTTTCGCTTAGCAACACATTAAGCATTTTATTTTATATAATCGAATTTACTTAAATCCTAATTATTTATTAGTTCGAATATTCAAAGCCAAAGTGTGTCGACAGCGTCTTGTTAAGATGTTATGTGGCTACGACATTTTGACTATCCATAGAGTTTCCTCAGTGATATAAAAATTATGAATAGTTTACAATTTTTATTGTATCCCACGCTCATATTGTACACTGGCGTTATAACTAAGCGCTATGTTCCAAGAAAGCAACAAGATGCTTGTAAGACCACCGGGTTCGATTCACAACACCATAATCTCGTAAAACTATACCCTGCCGCGTTTACGAATGCCACGACATTAGAACCAGTGTCTTGTTAGCGCAATTCATCCGTCTTTATTATTTCTTGCGATTAATAACCTTAATTTCAAGGTGTAAAGGTTAATTTACCTGCTGCGGTCCCAGTGCGTGTGCGCAATGCATCCTCACGCAATGATAAACCGATTTTCCGCTTAGCAGTTAAGTCTTAAAGGATTATGTGTGATATTCATACTAGATCGTTTATTATTATTGAGACGTGAATTAGGCTTAAGAATTTGATAAAGACATAAACCCAAAGTAGTAGTTTATATTGATACAAATTGAAATGAAGAAAAAAAAGTATAAATAAAATAAATGACTTCGCTGAAAAAAAAAGATACAATCAAGACACGAACCTAGGACCACGCGTTCTATATTGCTCTAACAATTTAGTTACCGTATTTGGTCAGTCTTATCCGTGTCACGTTGACTGCATAGCTCAATGCCTAGGAGCGATGTCTACTCTTTGTAAACACGAAAGGGTCCAGAGTTCCAATGGCCGAAAAACAAAAGATTGTATTGATTAGGCAAAGTACAGAACATTTTTTACAATATTAGCTATGACATGGAGTAATACGCTTACATATAAAGAATAATGATGATTCAGACCCTTTATAATCTTTTCTCTTCTTACAGGCTTCAATGGACCTACCACCGGACAAAGCAAAGCTTCTCCGCAACTACGACCTGGAGAAGAAATGGGAGATCATCTGCGACCAGGACATGGTGCAGGCGAAGGATTCCCCAGCGCATTACCTGAACAAGCTCCGGACATACCTCGACCCGAAGGCGTCAAGGAGTCACAGGGTGAGTTTATATAGCTAATATGTTATTTGTAAACACACAAACTCAGGCTAATTAACATATCTATGTATATAACAAACTGGCTGACCTAACCGTTTTTGCAGTGCACGCAACGAAACGTTTTTTCCACATTTCCCTCCTATTGGTCGCAGCGTGTTGTCAAATATATAATAGCAAAAAGTCTTTCTCAATAGAGGTGTATTGAAAAAAAAATAATTTTGAAATTCGAAGCAGTAGTTCCCGAGATCAAACTAGTAAAATTCCTTCTTTATTCCACGTAAGAGGTTAAATTGGTTATCGGAGCTTAGCACATAGTTTTATCAAAATATTAATATTTTATTTTCAACTAGGACGTTAATATTTTCTAGACTTGTTTAAATATATATTTATGCCACGTGTATCATTATATTTTATTACAAACAAACAAAAATTACTTTATTATCACCACAATGTTACAAATTAAAACTTAATTTTAACATCCAAAATGTAGCGAGAAAAGGCGGCCTTATCGCTAAAATGCGATTTATTGCAGGCAACCTTGAAGAACTTATTTTTTACATATAAGTTTAGTTTAAAATTCGAAAATATTTTCGGCTCGGGCAGGACTTAAACCGGCATCGACAGCGTTCCGTGCTGTTACTCAATCAATTGAGCTACCGAGTCTTAAACCTCATCGTCGATTTTTTTCAACTTATTGATACATAGCTCTCGCGCAATGTAATGTTCAAAATTATTATCATTATCGATGTTTAAATTATTTAGTGCCATCATGTGAAAAATATTATAGTTTTCAAACATTATTTTAGTTGTTTTTTATACAACACAGACGGGGTTCAAATCTCCGACCATTTCATACCGTGGTGTTGTAGCAACTATTTAATATTTATACTCTTAGGAACTACTGGTTTAAAGGGTCATCCCTCTTCTCTCGTTCATCTTTTAGGATTAACTTGCAAGATCCGTTTTTATGGTAACTAAATTTGATCGAAATTATCATTAATACCAATGATTTGTTATCAACCAGTCTATAATGAATTTGTGAATACAAGATGCCAAGTCAAGTCTGTAGGTTCCTTTATCAACGGATGGAACGATAGGTACCCGCATATAAGTATCCCTCGGCTGCGCTATTTGTTACTGTCTCCGCAAATTGTTCAATGACAGTGCACACTGGGGTGATATATATTGTATTGTTCGGCCAACGGTATCGCTAGACTAAAATGAAATAGACGATGAAATCGAGAATGAGTATATATTTAAATAAAACGGTTTAAGGTGTGTGAAATCCCGTTTCCCCCTCGTGGGGTATGGGGCAAACATTTTTTTTGTGTTCGTTTCACTGATTCCTTCTTTAACAGGCAAGTAGTTAATCAGACTTCTGTGCCCTGCCCGATCGACACAATTTTTTTGGTTCCCTGGTATGCGCACCCAGGACCTCTCGCACATAACGCAATGCTAGGCAATGCGTTAACCATTTGGCTACAGTGGTGGTCATAACGGCTTAAAACGCGCTTTATATATTAGTTAAACTTAATTGAAAATTATTGTAATGATGGAAAGCATCCGAAACGTCGGGCCGTAGTTAAAATAATTCTTAAATGAGTTAACTGATATATATCGCGTTTTAAACTGTTAAAGTGTTATATTTAAATGTGTACTACTCGCGTAAACGCGTATGTAGAATGTCGAAAGCCAAAATAAGTCGATAGAAGATCTTTTATTGATCAAATATGGATCGTCGATGGGATGGGAAGATGTGTGTGATAGCCATGATAAATAAAGCTGAGAATGTTTGCAAAAATAAATAAATATGATATCCAAAATAATTATTCCTTACGGGCGAAGTCGCGGGCATAAAATCTTACCGAGTTTTTTTTTATATTACGAATACTGTATAATATTTAAATATCTACGTCTATATGTAAGTAGTAAATACCAATAATCTTGAAAGCGAAGATATCTTGAGCTGGTGACTCATAGCAATCGAATTGATTGAAGACAGTGACGGCATGTACTAGCATGACTTACCTACTATTGTTTGTAAAAACTTACCCAGTGCAGATTTAATTGTTCCGTCTCGTTTTTGCTCTTGTGTTGTCCTTGAGAATGTCCGTGAAATTTATACTATAGTAAAGCAATGTGTAATGTTCGTCTGTATATTTATTAAATTCGTAAAAAAATGTAAAGGATATAAAATTTCAATAAAACACTTTAACGGTTTAAATCGCGATATAATTCAGTTAAACTTGTTTGAAAGTTATTTTTAAATACGGCCCGACGTTTCGAATGCTTTGCAGTAGCCGTGGTCACGAGCTTCTGAAAATTTACGCGACTAGTACACATGTATATAAAACAATTTTAACGATTTAAAACGCGATGTCAGGGCCTTAGTTAAAATAATAATTTCGCATTTCAATTTTTTTAAAAGAAGATGAATAATAACTTCTTCGTTTAAGGATAAGAAAAAAGTGTAGTAAGTACACTTACTGTAAAATTAACCTTGGCGATAAAAGAAGTGGCAGCCAGTTTCTTTTTAGTTCTTCTCGTTCTTTCTAAGCCCTTGATTCGAGAACTGAGAAATACAAATATAGTCTTTAGTTTTTAACAAGTGTGACGTTGTTGTCTATACACGTTTATAAGTAAAGGTACCTGTCGGAATTATCTCCGTGAATAAATGATCTTTGAGTCTTTGACGTCTCTTTATCATTATTAGTCAGGTGCTACCAGACTAGACTGGTTAGTCTTTCGTTTTTACATTGAAAGTATAGTTGTGCGGTCTGGACGTTGGATCGATCAGGATTTTGCTAGAAAAGAACTAAAAGCCAGGGGCGGTTTAATTGATGCGATAACTCGTTAGCTCGGCATCCTTGGTAAAAGGAAAGCGATGTTCGCTTTGTGGACCTCTCCTTTACTTGATTATAGCTTTCACTGAAAGCTGTTTTTATGCTTTCTTTAGAAATAACTTCTAATCTAACAGGCAAGGAGCATTATATTGTTACTTGAGAAAAATCTTATAGAGGAACTAGCTGAGCCGGCTAACGTTGTTTTGCCATTTAAATAATTTTACTAAAATGTCTATTAAAAAATAAGGATTGATCGTAGAAGGTTGAAAATTGAGGATTGTATTTATTTTTGTATGTTGTATCATAAAAAAAGAAAATTTTTTTTTTTTCAAAAATTAAAAAAAAAATAAGGGTGAACCACCCTTATCACTTAGGGGGTGAAAAAGATATATAGATGTTGTCCTATTCTCAGACCTATTGAATACACATATGAAATTTGGTGAAAATCGGTCGAGCCGTTTCGGAGGAGTTCAAGTTCGAACACCGTGACACGAGAATTTTATATATTAGATTAACAAAAATTACTTCGTTGCAACAGTGTACTCTTGCGCATTTTTCAATCCCGCTTTTTGTTTTTATTATGAATAGGATAAAAAAAAGAAACAACCATGGTGGAAAACTTAAATCCGCTTCCCCAAAATAGGGCATGGGTGAACACATTTCTGTGTCCGTTACACTGATAAGTCAAACAAACCAAATTTGTCAAATTCTATTTATATTTATCATTAAAAGCGAGGCCCTCTAGTGCTTACGCAATGCTAGATAACGCCACCATTGACCTACGAAGTCGGGGTAAACACGAAATATGAACCTTTAACAACAACATTACTTAATGTTTAAAGCCTTTTATATTTTATTCTCAATATATTTAATTTGAATGCTTTAGAGAAAACCTAATGCAGATAACACCATCTTTAACCATATACAAATATGATTGTCACATTTTGAATCTCAAATAACTATTACCTCGCCATCCGGTCAAAGTAAGAGCCTCGCTCCATTGTCCTGTATAACTCCACTCAGGCGCAGCCCGAGGCAGTAGAATAGTAATATGTAGTATCGTGTAATCGCAAATCAATATCATGATCTGATAAACTGGACCTGAATAATGCATGGGTCATTTGAAATTTATAGTGTTTTGTTTATGTGGGAATCGAGCAGAGATCAATGTATTGTGTTTTTTCTTACTTGGCATTTTTGGTGAGCAAAGACACATGAAATTGATATTTTCTAACATGGTTTACATTTATTAATGATTTGGTGGGGTAAACCGCTCGTATGAGATAAAAAAAAAATTAACGTCACTTTTAACGGTTCAAACCGTGAAAAGTTATATACAAATTGCATTAAAATATATTAAAGAGTCATATTAATTTTCTTAAAGTTCACATTATTCATCCCGCTATCTCCTAGCACTTGGACCGTAGTGCAAACGCGGTGGGCCTACAAAGTTAGCAAGAACATGCGAGCGGAATGCGTCGTATAAGGGAACAGGCCAATTTACTTCGTCTGGATATGACCATATCTCCTGGAGAAACATTGCCGTCCATCGTTTGCGTGCATTATTAGCGTGTTATGACTGTGTCGCAAGCGATAAGATGTTGCGTGGTAGTGACTTATATCGAAAGGCATTTGAAAGTGTCAAATTTTGACAAAAAAAACACTTCTTTCTCATTTTCATAAAAGTAAGTCACATGTAAATAAAGCACTTTTAAAGGTTTAAAACTATCAAGTACTACCTACTTTTGGTACCGAACTTAGGAACGTGTTAGAAACGTCGGGCCGTAGTTAAAATAAATTCTAAATGAGTTAAGTAATACATTAACGTTTTAAACCGTTAAAAATGTTTTATTGAAATTTATAAAAGCTTTTTTATCTTTCCAGAAACGAAAAATGGTGGGCGATTCCACGTCTACGCAAGTATTGAGGGATTTGGAGATATCATTACGAACCAATCACATTGAGTAAGTGTTTATATAGAGTAACTAATGATACATCTTATTATTACTTTTTCGTTGAATTTTCCTTGAGAAATTACTTCCTTATATCTTTTTTAATAATGGCAAAGTATAAATATTTTTTATTATTTGTCTACAGATGTGATTTATCTATTTAATTTGAATTTGATAAGCTTTCTCGTAATACTCGAGGATATCCTTTGGATTTTATTTGGCATCCGTTTGATAAATTATATCATTTCTTTGTATAGTCAAACAGTTATCTAATACATCCTTTTACGAATATTATGAAAATGATCCATGGTGTAGTATTAACTATTCTCACTTCGCAATGGAAAGAAATCGTAAGATATCTCTTTGTAACTTGTAATTAGAATTAACTGATCTTAATATTCCAAATTCCAGATGGGTTCGTGAATTCCTAAACGAACAGAACCAGGGTCTGGACGTGCTCATCGACTACCTGAGCTTCAGGCTGAGCATGATGCGGCACGAGCAACGGATAGCGCTTGCCCGGAGCCAATCCAGCGATGGTATTCATCAGGGTACGGTATTAGATCTTTCCTATTTTGGCAATTATGAACACGTCATTAACGTCAAAAACCTTAAACGATAGATCGATCTGTTTGTGTTAATAATGTTAAAACCTTTTTAAATGTAATAAATGCTTAACTTCAAAATAAAAATGATACAAAGTATAATACGCAAGTGTTAAGGTTGAAATTACATTGTGCGACAGGTACATCTATGAATAGGTTGAAAAAAATCGACGATGACGTGTAGGACACGGTAGCTTAATTGGTTAGAGCAACATCACGGATGTGCTATATTTAGTCCCATCTTGTGCAATAACATGTGAAAACTATTATTGTTTTCAAAATGTATTACGAGTACATTTTTTTTGTATACGCAAAATTACTTTCAAGTTAAATCAATAACATCCGTTAACATCTAAGTCCGTTAAGGTACTACATGTTTACTTAAATGCGAGAGTAGTTTAGAATTTTAAAGAGAAACAACAATTATATTTAATAATATATAGAAGGTCTATAGATAAACCCATTTTTGATTCTTTTTTTCACAGCTAACACCACAACATCGGATTGCAGTGGACCTACAGAAGGCAGCGCCACACTTAGTTCGACGTGGCGACGGCGAGCCAGGTCTGCTGATTCTGAGATAGAGGGCGCTGGCAGCCCGGCAGTGGCTAGGAGGCGGACGAGGCATGCCGCAAGGCTCAACATGGGTGCCTCCACTGATGATATACACGTGTGCATTATGTGTATGCGAGCTATCATGAATAATAAGGTGAGTTTTAAGTCTTTGCTGTAAAGGTGGCACTAGAAAAAGCCGTGAAGTTTAAACGTCGTCGGATTTAGTCAGTGAATTTTCGAAGCCAAAATAGACATTGCCAGCGTATCTTGTTAAGATGTTTTATGGCTTGGGCATTCCACTTAACATTAAGTGAACGATATGCTTGTCTGTCCTCCTCATTCGTAAAAAAAGATACTTTGTTGCTGATATCTTCATGAAGCTTTAAAAGTAACAAAATGATCTTTCCACTACGCTATATCTTTTACTTTCAGTATGGCTTTAACATGGTGATCCAGCACAGGGAAGCGATAAACAGCATAGCGTTATCCCTCGTTCACCATTCCCTCAGGACCAAAGCACTGGTGCTGGAACTTCTTGCTGCCATCTGTCTTGTTAAGGGCGGTCATCAAATTATACTATCCGCTTTTGATAACTTCAAGGTAAAATAACCATTATTATTTCGCGTTGAAAAAATGAAAAGAATTGTGTTATTATTTTATATATCAGTGTATCCACTTTTCTACTAAAGAGGGGTTCTGCTAGGAGCCTTCGTGGCACCCAAACTTTTTAAAATGTATATTAATCTTGAGTTTTTTCTACAAGGCTTCTGTAAATTTTTCAGGAGGTTGTTGGTGAACCGAGGCGATTTCACACGCTGATGGAGTATTTCATGAACTATGATACGTTCCATATTGAGTTTATGGTAAGGCATTAGATAAATAGCTAACCATTATCCAGTAATCATATATATATACTAAAGATATTTTGGATTACTATAGTATCTCGTATGATTTTTTTTTTAAATCTTTATTACATTACAAATATTTTTTAAATAGGTCATATATCTGCATATGTGTTATGTCATGTGGGTAGTTTATTATTAGCAAATGCCAAAAGTTCGGGTAACACTAATCCTCAATTCTCTATTTCAGGTGGCATGTATGCAGTTTGTGAATATAATAGTTCACTCAGTAGAAGATATGAACTTTAGGGTTCATCTGCAGTACGAGTTCACGGCTCTGAAACTTGATGATTACCTTGAAAGGCTGCGGCTTTGTGAGAGCGAAGATCTGCAGGTAACATCTTCCATTAATTATTTCGTATAAGGTCACTGTTTTCATACGTGCACTTTTTCCTACTTAAAGGTTTGGTATATTAAATACTGTTAGTAGTTAACGCGAGTAGTATACATTTAAATAAAGTACTTAAACGGTTTTAAGTCGTGCCACAGTCTCCTTGTGACCACGGCTGCTGCAAAGCATCCGAAACGTCGAGCCGTATGTAAAATTAGTTCAACAAATACATATTGCATTTTAAACCGTTAAACTGTTTAAATATATTGTTAAAATGAAACCCTTTTAATATATTAATAGGTACAAATATCGGCATATCTGGACAACGTTTTTGACGTAGCAGCATTGATGGAGGATAGTGAAACCAAGACAGCTGCGTTAGAAAAGGTCAATGAACTTGAAGACGAGCTTGGACACGTAAGAATTGTATTTTTTTCTGTCATCTTTGTCAAACTGGCACAAAGACCACGTATTAACCTTTAGTGATCTCTCTCCATCAGGCGCACGAGAGACTAGCGGCATTAGAAAGGGACGCAATAGCGAAACTAGCAACTCTGGAGTCAGAGCTGGCGCAAGTGAGACAAGAGCGCGACCAACTGGCTGAGGCGAGGCGACAAGTTGTGGAGGAAGTGTCTACGTTGCGACGGGCGCAGCAAGATTCACGCAATCGACAATCAATGCTGGAATCTAAAGTGCAAGAGCTAGAATCTCTAACGAAATCTCTACCACGTGGAGCTTCCAGTAAGTTTAAAAAACTTTGTCGATTTGAAAAGAACCGTGATACTATTATTATAAGATTTATATAGAATTTATACTTACGTGTAAAAGAAAAAACTCCCTTAACTTAATTCTTTTTCGACTTCTACCGAAGTTGCCTTGTCTTAATTCTTTTTTTTTCTTGTATTATTTTGAAGTAATTAAAATTGTACCATTTTTACGTTTTAGTGGGCGCAATATCATCTCACGCGCTCTGCAATGGCAACGGCACTACCAATGGTCCCATGTCCAACGGTTCCCCCACCACAAACGGACACAGTTCCCCCCACTTAACGAACGGCGACGTTCACACTCACATTCCGTCTCCACCCCCTGCGCCGTCACTTCCCCCTCCTCCTCCAGCACCTCTTCCACCTCCTCCGCCTCCACCACCCGTTTTAATTCCTCCGCCCGCTCCGCCAGCCCCTCCAGCGCCTGGACTTATGCCAGCACCTCACCACACAGACGCTATGACCATAAAAAGGAAGGTCGACACTAAGTATAAGCTACCCACACTTAACTGGATCGCGCTTAAACCGAATCAGGTTTGTTTTTGGGTTTATTAGTAAGTGAGTCAGGGTTTGGAACAAATCAACTATAGCTGGAATGCACTTTTAGGTAAGAGGCACGATATTCAACGAACTAGACGAAGAGCGACCCCGCCGGAGGATCAATTTCTCAGAGTTCGAAGAGAAGTTCCGAATTGGCGGCGCGTGCGCAGCTCTACAACACAACGACGACACACTCACCTCATTCCCAAGCAAGCGGTTCCGAAAACCAGATACGCTCTCCTTGTTGGAACACACGCGGCTTAGAAATATCGGTAAGATAGAAGGCATGAACTATTAAATAATGAAAAACACCTTTATATTGATCTTTTATTTTTTAAACGTGTTGATAAAGATTTTCATATGGGTATCTCCAGTAATATTAGGGAACTAATATTTTTCTCACAATTAAAGCTTCAAAACTTGTATCTTTCAGCAATATCACGAAGAAAACTCGACACACCCGTAGAGAAAGTAATTGCTGCGATAAACAACCTCGACTTAAAGCAACTACCGCTCGAAAGCGTCGAAATCCTTCAACGCATGGTTCCCACAGAAGCCGAACAGAAAGCGTACAAGGAGTACGTCGCCGAAAAGAAGAACATCAACCACTTGACGGAAGAAGACAAGTTCCTCATGCAACTGGCGAAGGTCGAGAGGATATCAGCGAAGCTGTCCATCATGAGCTACATGGGTAACTTCTTCGACAACATCCACCTCATCACCCCGCAGATACACGCCATAATATCCGGTTCATCATCAGTGAAATCCTCGCAGAAGTTGAGAAACGTTCTAGAAATCATACTCGCGTTTGGAAATTACTTGAATAGCAGTAAGCGCGGGCCAGCTTACGGCTTCAAGCTGCAATCGCTGGACACGCTGATGGACACCAAGTCGACGGATAAGCGTGTGTCTCTGCTTCACTACATTGTCGCGACGATTCGCCAGAATTTCCCGGAGCTGTTGAACTTTGATACGGAGTTGCTGTACATCGACAAAGCCGCGCAAGGTATTGTTTTTTGCTATGACAGGGGGGGAGATAGACAATTAATAGGTTTCACTAGATGGAATGTAAAATATACTACTATAATGCCCGTTATAACCCCAACAGCTATATAAACGAGATGTGCTGTTGACCCCATTTGGGTTTAAGCATTTGGAAATCCACAGACTGCGAGTGGTTCGTGACCCGAACGGATTTTGATATTCCAACCACCAATTTAATTAACAGATTTCTCTGAATAAGTCTATGTTTCAGAAAATTTATAACTTTATTAAAAACATATTCCAATATGGTTGGTAACGATCCCACATCCCGACAATTATTATCCAACACAGAATACTAGACACTCTCATAAAAATGTAAAAAAGTCTAAGATATTATTACGTGTTATGAATTAAGAATGATTATTTTATTTATTTTACGATAAACATTCTTACTATAATTGTTGCTATGAATATGTGATATGAAAATGTGTAGTTATATTCTAAACTATTAGCCTGTACTTATGAATATATTTTCTTATGTACATAATATAATTTCAGTGTCGCTAGAAAACGTATTAGCAGATGTAGCTGAACTAGAACGCGGTATGGAAGCAGCTAGACGCGAGAGCGAAGCGCGAGATACTCATCGATCAGCGCACGCGCATGTATTGAGAGATTTCATCGCAAACGCCGCGGAGAAGCTGCGACGGCTGAGACACGAGACCAAACATGCACAGGTAATTTATTCATGTAGATGAAACTACTCCGGCTCAAAGGACTAAATTTTGCATCTATATATACCCTTAAATTGTTAATTGTATCGTTTTATTAGAGTGATTTATTCCTTTATAGTTATCCAGGACCTTCAAATAAATAGAGCTCTATATAGTGTAAAGAGCTTAACTTATTTTTAACTACGACTACACGTTTTTAACCGTTGAAAGTGTTTTATTTAAACGTGTGCTCCTGGCTTTAACAGACAACATTTATCTATCACCTATCATATGTTTATTGCGGTTTTATTTCTTGTCTAATTTCCATATCATGCCTTAATTCCATTAATTTCGATGATTTAACTATTTACAGGACTCGTTCGCGGCGTGCGTTGAATACTTTGGTGAGGCACCCCGAGGCTGTGACGCGAACACTTTCTTCTCGCTACTCGTCCGGTTCACGAGAGCGTTCAAGGTTCGTAATATTGTTACTTTATAATCTTTCATAAATACATAACAAACAATCATACGTTGAAATTAACAAATTCTGTTAAAAAACTTTGACATCATAGTACTTTTCGTTTATGGGGCGTGAACACACTTATGTATCCGTTTAACTGATCTATTTTTAATACAGATAAGTGGGTCCACAGATTTCTTTACCCTGTTGACCGAAATTATTTATTGTATACCTGCGATTCAAACCCAAGACTTTTCTTGCCTAACACTATTCCACGGGGATATGCGAAATAAAACGTGGTGTTGCTTTATCCTGAAAGATTTAATCTTTTTGTTATTTAAGAATCTTAACTTACACCAATTACTATTGAATATTAAGATCTTCGTTGAAAATTTCCGGCTCGAAGGACTTTTTCCTTTTTTTGTTAACAGTGGAATCCCAGTTTATGACTTGACATTGTTATTACAGCAAGCCGATGCCGAAAATGAACAGCGTCGTCGTTTAGAGCAAGCAGCCCAACAGGCTGATCATGTCGACCCCAACAAAGCGAAGATTGTACAGAAGAAACAACAGGTATATTTCATCTCCTTCTTACAAATGCTAAGTCTGTCTGTTAATTCTTACAGAAATTGAAGTCTTATTCCATTTTATTTTAAAAAAGTTTTATGTTTTTATTTTAACGATGTAATATGGAAACGATTTTTTGTAGATGCCATTTTTTTTTAACTCTCGTAATTTAAGTTATATCTATTTAGTCTTTTTGTTATTTGCTTAAACAGTTGTGTGATGCTTTCTTGGTGAATGGAAATGTGCGTTGTATTTTTTGCATATTTCGAGTTTTAGATACTACTTTCAATTATAACGCATTATGTCAGTAAAAATGGACTGCCAAGTTTTTTCATTAATATAACTTTTAATACACAATTTTTACACAGGAAATGAAATAGCGCTGTTCTCGCTTAAAACAGTGAATGTATTTGCTAACTTATGATTTGCGTGATGACCATGGCTGTTGCGAAGCATCTAAAACTTTGGGTCATAGTAAAAAAACTAATTTGATTCGCGTTTTAAACCGTTTAATAGTTGTTCATCAATCATAATCATCGTTTCCTTGTTCTTTGGACATATTTTTATAATGAAATATGTCATTTCCTTTGTAATATATACTTGTAATTTCATCGTCATCTCGAATCTGAATGATTTCATTGATTTCGTAGTTCGGTGATGGAACGTGTGAATATGTCAGCATTTAAAACTATATGTTTCCTTATATTTTATTAAAAGAAGACGCACATCGCAATGAATAACTGGAAGTACCTGAATACAGGTTTTTCCTGGAACTCTAACTCAGGAGCGGTAATGCCTTATTATTATACAGGCTTACCCGTGCAATTCGCAAAGCTACTTGAGCTTTTGAGCCGTACGTAATTGAATTTAGATGTTTTGCATTGAAGAGTAGATTTCATTGAATTGAGTCAATAGAGAAATGTCCAGCTTCTTTCTCAATTACGAACAGCTGAAAAAATCTAGTAGCTTGAGAGTTCCTTATATCACTGTAAAAGGTTTTGTATTAGTGTTGCCATATTCACGACATGTAGGCGGTGATGGTAACACCACGTTAATTCTCACAGAGGTTTAACTACGCGGCCGTCAACGCGGGCCTCTTGCAGCAACACTTGTCTCAGTTGAGGCACAGTTTAGACTCGGTCTAGACTTAGACGTAAGTCGTCTTTCTTACGGGCCCTGTCACTGTGTGTGCCTACTAACATTGTTCCTTGGGTGGTTCGAATGCGATTGTTTAATTGGTGTTACATACCTTCGTAATGCAAGTAAAGATATACCTGGTGTTGATTGTAGTTTAAATAAAACACTTTGAACGGTTTAAAACGGGAAATATATTTGTTATTACGCTACGAATGTTTTGAAGATGTTGTCGCTTTCTGAAAATATAATTCGCCGCTAAAACTAGTTCTCTTTCTTCTCAATGTTTCGCGTTTTAAACCGTTAAGTTTTTATTTGTATACGTGGTGTTATTAAGGTATCACCAGCCGTTCATCAAATAAAATGACAGTCAAAGAATAGTCTGTGCTATAAGTAGGATATAAATAATAATGAAAAAGTGATTCATGAAGCTATTATGACACTAGAATTGAGAGAAAATTATTTTATGTTCCGGGTTGTAAGGCCAGCCTACCTGTCCTAATTGGTGGCAAAGTTAAAAATTCTCAAATATCAATGAAAAGGACTGTAAAAATCCATCCTACCTAGCTCTTTATAAGATCATTCCCGTTTAACACCAATTAAAACTGTGACTAATAAGAGGTGAAGCATGTACATTCAAAGATGCAGGCACAGAATTCTAGATGCTTATAATATTTCACGCGGTCTGCGCATGCACACGAATTGTTACGAATAATATTCATTAGGAATTTTCGATAACGATGTAAGAATACCTCTTTCAGAAGTAAAGATACCTCTTTCCGAACAGATGAGTTTTTGAAAAATTGTGTTACTAAGTATTTTGGTATAATTCTTATTTTAAAACAATAATTAGCTCGGGCAGGGCACTGAATTCTGATCAACTAATTGCCCGAAAGAAATCTATCAGTGTAACTCAGAAGTATTTTCCCATGCCCCATTGTGGGAAATTGGGTATCACTTAGTTTAAGACACTGGAAATAAAAGTAAACCAGAATCTGTGAAAGAATAAAAAGAAGACCAGAGATTGTTCTTAAGAAAAGATGCTAAACATTTACGGTTTTGAATTCAAAGCTGTCTGTAATTTACGCGAGTAATACACATTTAAATAAAACACTTTAACGGTTTAAAACGCGAAATATATTAGTTAAAAAGCAACCGTAGTAGCCCGTAACCATGGCTGCTGCAAAACTCCGTAAGGTGGGGCCGCATTATTAAGTTTCACTGATATATTTCGCGTTTTAAACCGTTAAGTGTTTTATTTAAAATAGATTTGAATTCAGTTTGTGTCAACCAGGTATCTTTTGTGTTCGCTGAATTCCTTCAGTGTTATTGAATATCCTACTATATATTATGATTATACCTAAGCCTACCAGAAACAATTACTTTTTAGGAGTCATTCACTTTCAAGATGACTATAACTTTGTAAATAATAATATGTGTATTGATTTTATTCCCAACGCTGCACTGCATGGATGCTGTACAGGACATGTTATTTTCAAATACTTATGTATATATTGCTAGATATAAGGCGCACTATGTAGATATAATTTTTGTATATATGCTATGAAGTTTCTGAAGCTAGAATATAAAAGGTAGTGTTGGTAATTTGTTTGTTTCAAAGTTTTTTTCTATAAAAGTATTCGCTTATTCTGTTAAGGGTAGTAAAATGATAGTTATAAGTAGTTTTTATACATTAAAATTTTAAATGCATGAGACGAAAGTAATTCTATTAAAATGTTAGTCTTCATATAGTTTATACTATATATTGCCATGTAAGTTTAATATGTAATTATTATCTGTATACAGCACCATATACTAGTATAACGCATATAGCACTTAAACACAGCGACGCACCAATAAATTGTTCAAATGTTTAGAAATTATTCAGGAAAGTAGTCAAAGACCTATAAAAAGTATAAGAAAAACAATCTCGCCAACTAAGTGAGACTAGCAATGTAAATTAAAACAAAACATTCTGGTCTTATTTGTAAGTCTCGCACTGCCATTATCTCAGAAGATAAATCACGAAACTGCAGCTTATTCTCGATCAGCTAAAGTTCATTTTGCCAAATTACAGGAGGCTGTCATCAACGAGTTAAAAACGAAATCGCAGGCCGTCGGCGAGAAAAAGCTTCTCCTCCAAGACGAAGTGTACAACGGGGCTCTCGAGGACATCCTCCACGGGCTTCGCAGTGAGCCCTACAGGCGAGCGGACGCGGTCCGCCGCTCGCAACGCCGCCGAATCAACTCCCACAGACTATCCAAAGGCCTGGAGGAACTGGACGTATGATATGAGCTGGAATCCGGTGAACAGCCGGATTTCTCTGTACAGAACGCGGTGTCAACGATCAACGAACGCTGCGGCTTCAAGAAACGCCGCAAGGACCTGGAAATGGTGCACAAGAAACCGATCGCCATCTACAATATCGAGGATAATATAGATTTCTGCGATTTCGCTGCGCGTAAGCCGAAGAGTTCCACCTACAAAGTGGCGCCGTGCGATGCCCAAGTGGAGGAGAGATGCGAAATCATTAAGAGCACCTACGAGGTCATATCGAAGTACACGCGCGCCATGTTCGACAAGACGAACGAGACGGTCGTGTGAAATCTGTGTTGCTTAAGTTCTAAATCTGCTTTCTCTAGACACGGATGTAACGTTCAAATGTGTTTGTGAAATCAAAGGATTCTAATTATTGGATTACTTTTTGAATTCGGAAAGCCATGTCCAGTCTCTGTGGAGATAAACAAAAAATTGTTATATGTCAATGTCAGATTATGCGATATGTCAAACTTAGTTTTGCAGAAGCTTTGTATCAATAAGTTGAGTGTTGCAATCCTTTGATGTCACATTACATTAATAGCCCTAATAACTGTCCGTTATTATAGTCAGTATTAAAATGTACAAAGTATATTTTCTTCTGTGTATCGTAGAATTTAAGCAACATATACTCATACGTATCCCACCCTAGTAGATTTTTTAACGACGTGTAAGTGATAAGTGGTTTTGACCCCAAAAGAAGCAAGTGCAAAAATTTGATACGCCCATTGTTCGATCCACACTATGCAATATTTTGCTACTGTATACAAATTTTCGAATTCTATACATAGAATTTTGACGCTTTTACCGGCATGCTTTTACAAATTATGGATTTTGTAATGAAAATTGACTTTTAATAAAATATAGTTGAAGTATGAAAGTTAAACAGATAATGCTTTAGATGTAAAAGAGTTGATATTTCAAACAATAAAGTATCAACTTTGTTTCATTCGAGCACACCGCGGCCTTAACTTCGCATCTTTACACGCACAGTTTTTAAAATATTTTGTAGTGATGTAACTTTTACACTCTCTATTTAAATAACAATGTATAAAAGATAATTATTAATAGCCTACACATTTATACATACTGTGATGCGCGCGAACGATTTTTTGTGCATTTATATTTAGCATTTTGTACCTATATAGTGATAGGTTCCATTTTCACCACTGGTAACACAGACTTAAGTGTCGCCATTTTACTGTGAAAATTTTCAAAATGATATGTGTAATAGCAATTATGAATCGTTCTCTTGGGTTTCCGTTAAAAAGTTTTGAAAAGCAATTACTCAAATAAAACGGCCGAATGACTCGAAAACCCAAGTTTATAAGTAGCGATATTTAGCACAGTACGAATGCGACATTTAATAAAAATAAAACATGACATTTTCTGCACAAATAATTATTATTCATGACATTTTATATAAATATTATCATTATTACCAAATTGGGATTGCCGATGATCTGATCTGATTAGGTTTATTTTTCGAATGTTTTGTAAATATTTTTTTAGCACGGCAACACCGAACCGATCCCACCCCACTGGTAGATTGTAAATATTGTATTTTTATAACACTCAAGGTACTTGAGAACAAACACGCAATATCGTTTAGCTTATATATTTAGCACAGATTCGGTCCGGTGCTGCCATGTTTTTATTTTATTTAATGAAGAATTAAAAATATAATATATTTGTTTTTAGTTTGCACAGTTTTAGGATAAAGGCACATTATTATAATCTACAACTATACCAGTGATATCCAGATTTCAACTTTTTAATCTGTGATGATTTAATACTGGCAATAAACAGAATGAAAAAAAATGTTGCAGTTTTTTAATAATGAGCCTTAATCCTAAATTACTTAGGTGCTTTGCGCACATTATTGAGTAGTTTTACTTTAATTTAAGTTAAAGTAAGCGGTTTCGAAACGTCGGTTCTGGTGTTACGACAGGGTTATGTAACAATAAATGCTACTAGCACAAAAAATGGTTGGAATTACAATATTGATTTGTGTCGTTGTTTGATGTTTGTACCTTTGGTAATTGCAGATTGGGCTTATTAGGAATATAGAAGTGCCAACACCAAGTGTCACTATATTTTAGTAAACAATACCTATTATTTATTTTTGTCAAAAAAAATATTTGTTATTATATTCTTAGTTAAACATATTAACTTTTGGGTACTATCAAGTGCAAATTTAATGTTAGTTTTGATTTGTAGACAGGTAGACAATCTTAAAGCCATTTTTAGCTGTCTAATACGAATTGAGTAGGTTACGATCTGGTAACGTACTTAATTCTAAACTACTGTAACAAAAGTATAAATTATAATAAGGCCAATCTGCAGTAAGTATGTTAATTCGAATATTTCCATTGTAACTTTGTATGTGATGTATAAACGAGACTTTAATATTTTTCGCTCATTGCATGTACGCTAAAGTTAGTGACAGTATTCAGTGACGCAATAAACATACATTTTACATTTTTGTGGTCTATTTACTCTAACTTTTAAATTGAGTCCCAAAAGATGGCGCTACACTATTTTTAAGCCGTATTGAAGGTTTTCTACATTTATCATATTTCTTATACATTTTATTTAAGTTGTTTAAATGAAATATAGCAGAGAAACTTCAAATAACTTCTTGGTTAAGTATTGTGAAATGTACAATCAAACACACTATTATTTATTAAAAATGTATTATTATACCAAACAAATGTTTCAATAAGTTTTAATTCACAAAATCAATAGAAAAGAACTTTAAGAAGTTTACAGCATATAACATTACTCAAAATACTCTTTTAATGGACTTTATCTATAAGTAAATAATATCTTGAATCAGTCTTTTTTATGACAGTTTATCTTTCTTGGTCCAAAAATGTTATTAATCCGTACACAACCTATCGGCTATATTCTTAATTGCTTCTACAATTGTGGATACTTCTGCCATTGCTCCAACACCCACATCACCACACATTAAGGTTTTACTAATTGGTGGTATTTCCTTATATCCCCAACTCTTCAAAGTTGCTATCTGCATTGCTGTTATAGGATGTTCCCACATTCTAGTGTTCATGGCGGGGCAGAATAGCAACGGTTTCGAAATGTCCCAAGCGCGCATTGTACAGGTAAGAATATTGTCACAAATACCCTGAAAAAATTGGTAATCACGTTTAAAGCATTGCTATCCAGAGTTTAATGACTAAGCCATAGTGCATACATTCTACTTACTGTAGAAACTTTTGCTAAAGTGTTAGCATCTATTGGAGCAACCACCATCATATCAGCGAGTTTGCCTAACTCAATATGTATCACAGGATCCCCTCGTTTTTGCCATGACTTCCATTCATATTCATCATCGTATATTTTACTTTTAATTTTATCAATTTCAAAGAAATGTTTGGAATGTTCTGTGGGTACAATGTGAATCTGGAATTTATAAGAGACTTATTTTGAATGCTGAAGAATTCTCATTAAAAGTAATTATATACAATGCCAGTACTGGTGTCGTATTAGTTTCCTGTTTTGTACATCAACAAATCTTAAAAGAGCAACATGTGTTAAAATCGAATATGATAGTATTCATAAAGGTAAGCAAAAGATCTGAATCCTGTATCCATCCTTTTAAGAACTTTAATATCGCTTGTGTCTTACCTTTATGTTATATCTTGTATTTGTTTCATTCAATTCCAGCAAGCTCTGCTCTAAAACAGGTAATTTAATTGCGGCTACACTGCCAGCGACACCGATAATAAGGTTAAACGATTTCTTTTCAATACTCATAATAAATTTTGTATTTATCATTCACCGAACCAGCTTAAACCGAACATTTATTCCTAATATCTTAAAATTTTATCACACTTTGTCTTATATTGCTCTTTGAATATTGGAATTTGGACGCAAATAAACTTATAACTCAGAATGTTTAGAGACAAAATAATAAACATTAATCAGCTGTTAGATATTGATAGCAATTGAGTCAATTGTCAAAACGACGACTAATAGTTGAACCGTGAATACTTGAATCGTTATGATGAATCGATTCAACGATCAGCAGGCCGATTTTGTAACTTTTGACAATCAGTTATCGACTAGCCTTCTGTAGTGTAAGTTTTTCTGACATTAAAGTTGTTAATAAAAACTCATTTTATTTACATTTGGAGTTTAATTTTAAATGCTTTTTTTGTTTCAAATATTTGAACAATTCTTAATGTAATAATCTTTAGAAATAATAATGTCACCGATATTTTATTGCGCCAGATACATCCCTATAAGAAGTCATTTTGACATTTAAAAATGGTTAAAAACTTGACAAGAACAACTTTCAGTTTATTGTGGTATGTTGTGTTGATAGGACAGTGTTTTTGTTTTGATTTTTTTTACGAAACTCGTTTTCCGCAAATTTCACACAAAATTCTTAGTTGTAACCCGTCGCGTCAATAAAATGACTATGTTTTAAGTGATTATTCTATGCATTGTTATCGAGAATGGAGGGAAATTCTAAATTTTACGAGGGTTGTGGACAAGAGGGTCCGATTCGGTGTATATTTTTGTGTGAATTCCACCCAACAGCTGGGCCGAGGATAACTTGCCAAGTACCAGAGAACTATATATCCAAAGAGATCTTTGATACTGTCAGCCATTATATTATACCAAAGGTGCAATTACAAAGGTGCACCCTCACGGTGTAAGTATATTAAGGTTGTTTTCGCGGGTAAAGTCGTGGGGCTGGAAAATGTAACTCGACTTATATATTATTATATGGAAACAACTGACAAAAAACTCTAAAGAAAAATTAAAACTAATTCACCATATTGACTATATAAAGCTTGGCAAATAAGTTTTGATAAAAAAATATATATGAATAAAAAATTTTGATAAAATAAATTTTCTATTGTTAATTAGCATACATTTCTACATGTTAAAAGTAAAAAAAGATGAACCAAAATTGGTTTAAGAATTATAGTACATACATAAACAAAAGTTATATTTTTCTTAAAAAAAAAGATAAACTTGTAATAATAAGTAACATATTTATTATTGCTACTGACTTTCTCTGGAAAGTTTTCTCATATCATGACAGTCTAATCATTGATAACTTATCTGTAGATTTTAATAAATTTTTATTACAGAACACTGCTTGGCTCCAAAATCCTTGGGTTCCCTGTAAGAATAGACAACAAGAAATATGCCAGAAATGCATACTACTTCAATCTTTGCTTCGTATGTGACGCGTGGGCGAGAACAGTACATTTAGAACCCCTTGTGAAGAAACTCACAGAATATCTGGTTAGTATACAAATCTAAATGGAACAAAGTAGTGAAAAAAACATACAATTCTTATCAGTATGTTGCAGTTGATATTTTAAAACAGTATTTTGTTAATCAAGACATTACTAATGATAAAAGTGTACATTACAAATAAATTTATTAAAATCACTTTAATTGTTTAAAAGTTTATTTACAGTAAAAATCTATTCTTGTTTAATATAACATTGGGTCTTATTGTAATATACCTACTAATCAACATTAGCCCTATCTGTTATTCTACCTGGCATATTTTAGCTCAATACTCTTTCTTATTTTATTCTGATAAATCAGTCATTCCTTTAGTCTGATAAGATAAAAATAATAACGTCCTCAAATGTTATATTGAATATCTTATAAGTGTATTTATGTATGGCAGCTCAATTGGTCAGAGCAGCAGCAGAAGCCTCTATATGTAGATGCCAGTTCATATCCGACGCGTGTACGATTTAAGTCTAAATTTATTTTTTAATTTATTTAAATAAAAAGTTCTTCTAATGGTTTGACTTCTCAGGATATCTGTTGGTCTTACTAGATTTGTAAAAGAGGATAGATCCATTCATGTTTGTTCTAAAATGCAGAATCCAATAAACCAATTTGATGTAACCTAATAGCAATATAGTTGATCTATAAACTTCGACGATCCCGTTGGTGTAATCGAAGCAATGTACGAAATAATCAACGGGCCGCAAGTGCGATATCTACCGGGTCATGTTATGTCTAACAATTTATAACTTTTCGAAGCGTGATGGACTTCCGTCTATAGCTTACGCGAGTAGTACAAATTTAAATAAAACAATTTAACGGTTTAAAACGTGATATATTAGTGAAACTTATTTGTAACCACGGCTGCTGCAAAGCATCCGAAACGTCGAGCCGAAGTTAAAGATAATTTTCAGATAAGTTTAACTAATATATCGCGTTTTAAACCGTTAAAGTGTTTTATTTAAATGATGGACTTCGTCTGGCAATCTTGATTAAATGGGTAGGAATATCTAAACTCCGTCTGGATCGCGAACCATCGTCCACCGATGAAAAAGCCGTCTGTGGTTATGTAAAAAACAAACAAACAAAAGAATAACCGCGCTTCCAAAAAGGCCCAATATATAATATCGTTAAACTTGTCCACAGTTGTCAATGGAGTTAGAAACAGAATGGCTGTCGAAACAGTCGTTATCCGGTGATGCGAAGGCCCTAAGTGGTCTCATGAGGCAGGTCATGCAAGATATAAACTCGAGAAGAATGTGTACACTTACGGGTAAGTAATGTCAGTTCCGTAGGTATTATTGAATACTAGCTGTGCCCGCGAGTTCGGCCGCGTGGAATAGTTATATTGGGCATTATAATATTATTTATTTTAGCTAAAAACCTCCTCAGCTTTATTAATTATAGCTGGTAATAGCTAAAGGCACGACGTCGTCCGCGTACCTTCACGTCGTCCTTGCGAATTCGAAGAATAATTCTTTTTCGTTTTTTACACATCCTGTTTCTTCGCTCCTATTGGTCGCAGTCTGATGTTTTATAGCCTAAAGCCTCCCTCCATAAATGGTCCAACCCACACAATGAGAATTTTTCAATTCCAACTTGCAGTTCCTGAGATTAGCGTGTTCAAAACCTTCAGCTGTGTAAGAATAATATTTTCCTATAGGTTAGGCAGCCTCTAAATAATTTTATTGATTACAAGGATATAAATGACCTTTGCTCCCATGGAACGAAGCAATATATCATGCCCCCCAAGGATTTATTCTCGTGACATCTGTCATCTCACGAAATGTTCAGGGCTTAACGAGTCAGTTACAGACGAATTGTCCGTTACTGTTTCATCGTTTTCATTAATTGCTTACTAATGATTGTCATTTATAATCACGTAAAATTTTGAGAAAAGAAGAATGAAAGAGCTATATGATTAGAATTTTTCTAAATTCTAACACTAAAGGCGTGTCAAAGAAAGACTAATCTTGTATAGGATCCTCCCATAAGATTTTGCATATTTTTAATCAAAATAATGTAGGTACCAATAATTAAGTAGGCTTCTAGTTGTTTTTATGATAAAGGATATACAAATCTCATAAAAAATATTCTCGAATTTTCGGATGCTTTGCAGCAGTTGTGGTTAAAGGGTTTAATATATTTCACGTTTCATACTGTTGAGAGTGTTTTATTTACTTCACTACTAGAGTCAACGTAGTCGCGCTTTTTATTGTGTATTCACCAAAATTTAAACCTGGGACCCTACTCTTAATTCTAGGCAGTGTCTGATAATATTGCGAAGCATAAATAGCACATAATCTTGAATTTAAAATCTCATAAAAACACACTCATTATCGTAGATTTGTTCGTTTGTCGTTCCAGATACATAAAATGTTCGTTAATTGTGTTTTTATTTCAATTTGCATTAACAATGTATTCATTAGCGCTAATTGAGATCGTTAGGGGGCTATTCACGAAATAATTTGTTGTGATAAAAGTATCTATTAATACCGTATAAGTGGTCTGGTATTATATTGATTTTGTTTAATTATTTATACTAATATATAAAACCGCACTTTGTTTGAACGCGCTAATTTCGGAATCTACTTTTCCGAATTATCTTTATGTTGGTGGGACCATTTATCGATGAAGGCATTAAAAGAGATTCGGTACAATAAGAGCAAAGAAACAAAGGAAGATGTGAAAAAAACGCTACAAAAATTAAATCATTTATAAAACTGAAGAGGTTGTTTACGAGACAAGTTTTGACGCCGAAAGTAACTATTCCACGCGGACGAAGCCGCGACACAGCGAGTCATCACTCTCACGCTACACAAAGTTGGCAGTTTGAGAATTGAATTTTCATACACGACGATTGTGGACCCCCACTCCCAATCACGCCCAGCAGTGGTCCCAGGATCTTAAACCACTTCGAAAATAACCGTGCTAGACGAAAAGTCTCGTAGTTCCTTGTTGGAACTTACGTAAATAGCAACAAGCGTCGATCAGTGATAAGAGTCAGCGGTGATAAGGTGAAGATAACAGCTGCCACATGGTGTTCGTTTCTGTTTGCATAATTTCCATTATGATAATACATTCGTCTGTATCATGTGTAGGCTGTGTGATAATTACATTGTGTTATTAAAACTTAACTTCACTGAATATATGCCTTATTAGGCATATATTCAGTGATATATGTCTGTTTTCTAAATTAAAAGCTATTTAGGTCGAAAAAAATATAATGAAACTTTTCATCGCGCACGTCGGTGCAATGATAGTACGACTAATAATCAATGGGTCGTGGGTTCGACGCCCAACGGGTCCAACATTGTATAATTATAACATATCGTAAGCCAAAATAGGTCGACATCGCATTTTGTCTAGATGCTATAGGCTGGGATATACCATCATGTGAACCCCGCGCTGAATGCTCATTATAAAAAAAAAAACTACGTATTAAGGAATTCTGGCATATATTTTTCATGAATGTTCAAACAACCGCGAATGAAATTAATATTTTTGTAAAAATCCTTCAAACATGCTGAATACACGGCAAACTGAGAATGGTTCCAACATTTACATAAACTAGCAATTTAATCGAGTTCTTATCATATTGTAATATATTAGACGAAAACAACTCGCGTTGCCAGGTAAAAGTGATGCTTGCCGCATTGTAATAAAGGCCAATATCGGTGCGAAAACTGGAAATGGGAAGTTTATTTTAATACTTTAAAACGACGTTTAAACGTGTAAATTATTTAAATATTATTTGTTGACTTCGCTTTTTCTATTCTTGAATGTTTTATATGTATAGCTATAGACGAAGGCGTTTTCGAATCTGTGTAACGTAGAATGAGGAAGATTAATTTGCCAAATTGCTTTTGTAAAAAATGTAAAGAACTATTCTATCTACTATCTGTGGTTTACGCGAGTACTACACATCTAAATAAAACACTCGTCTCCCCGTGACCACGGCTGCTGCAAAGTATGCGAAACGTCGGGCCCGAGTTAAAAACAATTTTCAAACAAGTTTATCTAAAATATATCGCGTTTTAAACCGTTAAAGTGTTTTATTTAGAACTATTCTATCTATATATCCGACCGTGTGGTGCCGGATTAAGAATAGTACCCCCCCATATCCTCCCGTGGGTGTCGTAAGAGGCGACTAAGGGATAAAAAACCGATGAACGGGCAGCAGCGTTCATTCGCGGTTCAACCATCCAACTGCGCTCGCCAACCCGTCTGCCAAGCGTGGCGAGTATTGGCATATACCCCCCCCAAAAATGGACAGTATGACCAGCACCAGGCCCCCAGTCCCCGGCAGCCCCGTAAGTCCTGGCTACGGTAGCGGCCATGGTAACTGCGGGGCAGGGGGTGCTAAGAATCACCGGCAGAGATCCGGCTACCTTTTCCGACGACCATTGGCCCTGGTAACATACAATGCACGCACTTTGAGGATGGATGAAAAGATTGTCGAGCTGGAAGAAGAACTGAATAGGTTGCGGTGGGACATAATAGGGTTATCGGAGGTCCGACGAGAGGGCGAGGACACGATGACCTTGGAGTCCGGCAACATGTTCTTCTACCGAGAGGGAGGACAGCAGTCCCAAGGCGGTGTCGGGTTCATAGTCCACAGATCTCTTGTCAACAACATAGAGGTGGTCGAAAGTGTGTCGAACAGGGTGGCGTACCTTATACTCAGAATATCTCAAAGATATTCGCTGAAGGTCATACAGGTATACGCCCCGACCTCGACGCACTCAGATGACGAAGTAGAAGTTATGTATGAGGACATAAGTAGAGCCATGCATTCTTCGAAAACACACTTCACTGTTGTGATGGGGGACTTCAACGCAAAGTTAGGGAAGAGAGGCGAAGATGAGTTGAAGGTGGGAACCTTTGGCTATGGGCACAGAAATCCTAGGGGACAGAGGCTGGCCGAATTCTTGGAGAAGGAAGGTCTTTACATGATGAATTCCTTCTACCAAAAGCCGCCGCAAAGGAAGTGGACCTGGATGAGCCCCGATGGAAAGACGAAAAATGAGATTGACTTCATCATGTCCACTAAGAGACATATATTCAACGACGTCTCGGTGATTCACAAGGTGAAAACCGGAAGTGATCATCGCATGGTACGGGCCTCGTTGAATATAGATATCAAAGCCGAGAAGTCTAGGCTGATGAAGTCTACCCTCAGACCGTCTCGTACCCAAGTCAATGATCCCGAGAGCTTTCAACTCGAATTACGCAATCGTTTCTCGTGCCTGGAAAACTGCGCGTCAGTGGACGAGCTTAACGATGGGCTTGTAAAAACTATCCATGCGGTGGGCTCAAAATACTTTAAGTCCCATCGCAAGGAAAGACCGGAAAAACTTTCAGGCGTAACATTGAAACTGATGGCTGAAAGGCGATCAATATCAGTCCAAAACCCCGATGAAGCTGAGTCATATAGGCAGCTCAATAGACAAATATCGAAATCTTTGAGGCGCGATATCCGCTCCTTTAATACTAAACGTATTGAGGAAGCGGTACGGCGTAACAAGGGCGCGAAGGTCTTTGCAAGAGATACGTCTATTGGGCAAAGCCGGCTGACTCGGCTAAAGAAGGAGGATGGTATTGTAGTTAGCTCCACGCCAGAAGTCCTGAAAGAGGTCGAAAAGTTTTACGAGCAACTTTACTCGTCGGTTGCTAAGCCCGTCGTGAGCACGGCGACAGACCCCAGAGCCAAACTTACCCGACACTACACCGAAGACATCCCGGACATCAGCCTATACGAGATTAGGATGGCCCTAAAACAGCTTAAGAACAATAAGGCACCGGGTGAGGACGGAATCACCTCGGAGCTACTGAGAGCTGGCGGTACACCAGTTCTCAGATTGCTTAAGAGGCTTTTTACCTCCACCTTGCTCAAAGGCACAACGCCGGAGGCATGGAGCAGAAGCGTAGTGGTCCTGTTCTTCAAAAAAGGTGACAAATCCCTCCTGAAGAACTACAGACCGATCTCGCTTCTGAGCCATGTCTACAAGCTGTTCTCTAGGGTCATCACGAATCGTCTCGAACGTAGGCTCGATGAATTCCAGCCACCCGAACAAGCCGGTTTCCGAAAAGGCTACAGCACCATGGACCACATACACACGGTGCGGCAGGTGATACAGAAAACCGAAGAGTATAACCTGCCATTATGCTTAGCGTTTGTGGACTATGAGAAGGCCTTTGATTCGATCGAGACCTGGGCCGTGTTTAAATCTCTACAGAGGTGTCGCATCGATTATCGATACGTCGAGGTGTTGAGGTGCTTGTATAAGAACGCCAATATGTCAGTCCGAGTACAAGATCGGTGTACGAAGGCCATCCCAGTGCAGCGCGGTGTTCGGCAAGGTGATGTTGTCTCACCAAAACTTTTTACCGCTGCTCTGGAAGACGCTTTCAAGCTCCTAGAATGGAAAGGACTGGGCATCAACATTAACGGCGAGTACCTCACCCATTTGCGTTTTGCCGACGATATTGTGATCATGGCACAGTCTTTGGGGGATCTAAACACAATGCTCGAAGACCTCAACAGTGTTTCCAAGCAGGTAGGCCTGAGTATGAACATGGACAAGACAAAAATAATGTCGAACGCCCATGTAGTGCCTACCTCTGTATCTATTGGAAGCACTGTACTCGAAGTTGTTGACGAATACGTCTACCTGGGTCAAGTAATACAATTAGGTAGATCCAACTTCGAGAAAGAGATCAATCGTCGAATCCGACTCGGCTGGGCAGCGTTCGGGAAACTAGACAAAGTCTTTTCATCCCGTATACCTCAGTGCCTGAAAACTAAAGTGTTCCAGCAGTGTGTGTTACCGGTGATGACGTACGGTACCGAAACATGGTCTCCTACCGCGAGCATGGTGCACAGACTATGCGTCGCTCAGCGTGCGATGGAAAGAGCTATGCTCGGAGTTACCCTGCGCGATCGAATCAGGAATGAGGAGATCCGTAGAAAAACTAAAGTCACTGACATAGCCCATCGAATTGGCAAGTTGAAGTGGCAGTGGGCTGGGCACATCGCTCGAAGAACTGACGGCCGTTGGGGCAAAAAGGTTCTGGAGTGGAGACCACGTACTGGACGTCGAAAACCTGGACGACCTCCTACCAGGTGGACCGACGACCTGGTCAAGGTAGTGGGGAAACGCTGGATTCAACTGGCGAACGACCGGTCGTACTGGAAGTCTATGGGGGAGGCCTATGTCCAGCAGTGGACGCTGAACGGCTGAATCGAAGAATTCTATCTATATATCTGACCATACGTAAAAAAAATACAAGTATATATTTAACAGATGTTTTTGCAGTTGACAATTTGTTCGCACTATTGCTTAAAGGCGTTGTTTAGCCTTGCATTGCTCTAAGAGTACAGAGTCTAGGGTTCGATCCCCAAGGGAAACTACTAGGTGTTTGAGCGGGCAGGGCGATGATATTTTTTGTGGTAACTTTCCCCATCGGGCATGGGTTGACTAGTTGTGGTTCAATGCTAATGACATAATACATTTTTTAGTCTTTAAATTATCTTACATGTAAAACGTGTCTCGTCTTGTCACCAGTTGGTACTACCACTACTCACCTAACCGTGGTACGAGTCAACAACGACCCGGCACCGGTCAAAGACCACCAGGTACCTGTGTTCCTGTACAGCCGACAGTCTTTTGTAGCGGACCAATGGGACTTGACCACTAACCAGGTAAGATTTAGTTAAATGTTTAATTATTAATATCATTAAGTACAATATTATTCTGAACTAATACTATTATGTAAAAGAGAATTTTATACTGTCTATAGTTTACGCGAGTAGTACACATTTAAATAAAACGCGTAGATAGATCTCCCCGTGACCACGGCTGCTGCAAAGCATTCGAAAGGTCGGGCCGAAGTTAAAAATCATTTTCAAATAAGTTTAACTAATATACCGCGTTTTAAACCGTTAAAGTGTTTTATTTAAAGATAATTTTGTCAAGATCCTTGATTTTTGTGTACTGATCTAGATGTTTGTTAGCATTTTACGCAAATTCTGCTAAAGCGATATTGATAAAACAACTGCACAGTAATAGAATAACAGACAGTAAAATATATACATGCTACAAGTATAATGCTAAGCTACCGTAATCTAGACGGAATATTAAATTGCATTCGCTCACAAACCATCTTTAGACGGAAAGAAGTGTAGCAGTTTTCGTTTTAGTGTATCTATATGAAATTTCAAGCAACAAAATTATGTCGACAGTGTTCTCATTTTCTGTCATAAAACTATTATTTATAGACATTAAAAATTCAAACAAAACACTAAGGGTCAGTTCACACCAGGACGCGATGCAACGCAACACGGAGCGCACTATTGAAGACGCTGTACAAAATGTAACTTAATTAACTAGAGCAAAAGATACAAGATTTATTGCAAGAATTCGATATTGCCCCACGGAACTTCGAGCGAATGTTAAATTCTTGCAATGACACTTGTAACTTTTGTTGTAACTAGTAAAGTTATGTTCATGGACTGCGTAAAACCAATAGCATCTAGGATAGAATAGAAATACGTTAATTCAGAAACACAATCACGGCTGCTGGAAAGCATCCGAAACGTCGGGCCGAAGTTAACAATCATTTTTCAAATAAGTTTAACTAATATATCGCGTTTTAAACCGTTAAAGTGTTTCATTAAAAAAAACACAACAACACCAATGAGCTCGTCAACAGTAATATCGCAATATTTAGGTATAGGTAATCTCTGGACCCTTAGAGGCTTCTACAAATATTGTGGCGTCGCGTGTGACGTGACCCTAACGAGTACCTTTAGTAACTTCGCACAGTAGGCCTAGTAACACAGCAACAAAATTAATATTCAACACCAGTATATATGAAAACTCATAAATACTAATAATTTATTGCTGTTCTACTGCATTGCTTACTAATGATAATATTTTAAATTCAAATCAGTTAGTATTTATTCAACCGCCTCGAATCATTATTGTAAATATTGATTTTAGATTCGATAATTCTTTTGTTATTAGTATAAATCTGTGTTACATGCACACGAGATCGTGACGTCTAGGGTTCGATGCTTTGCAGTGTAGAATTTTTTTTTCGATTGGATAGAGAGAAGATACTTCCAGAAAAAATAATAAATGTTTATCCTTTTCTTAAGTCTAACCTGTTGCTCTTTTGGAATGAGCTTATCCTATGCTGCTCTAGCCAATTAAGCAACCGTGCTCTTGGTAGCAGCAGCAGCATTTTTTACATGTGTTTTGTAATGTGCTAGAGCAGCGTCACTGAAAGCCGTGGATGCTTGTTCGTGTTCCGCCCGTGTCGTAAAATTTATTAAATAATTAATTTATATAATGCCATCATATGCAATAACATGCGAAAAATATTAAAGTTTACAAACTTCACGTGTTAATTTAATTAGCAAACGAAACTCAGATGTGTAAATCGTAAAGAATTTAGTGCGTCTCAAAGTCTATCGCGTATCGAATTAAGATAATACTTACGCAACAATTTGCTATAAATAAATCTACGGTTGCCACAAGATACATAAAAGTATCGCTATTATTACACAGAGCGTGAGGTGTTATCACGGCCGTAGGCAAATCGTTTTATTATAAAAAAGACGAAAGAAAAATAGGAGACTTCAAAAGACAAAATGAGATTAAACATTGTCGACATTAGGCGAGTAGTACACGTTTGATATAATTTAAACGGTTTAAAACGCGCAATATATTTTTTTGCGTGTTTTTAATTTAAGGAGAAACCTGTGCCCAGCTGTGGGATATTAATAGGTTCCAAGGAACGAAATAGATAAAAACTTATTCCCACTAGAAAAGGGAATGCCTTGCAAACGAAATTGCTAAGTATCATATACATATACGCAAATATAGTATAGATATATATAATTACTGGATATATATTATGTTATAACATATAATAACAGAACAACAGGGAATAGAGATATAACGCGTTCAATGACCGCGGTGATATGTCGGGTTATTTCGGGAACGAATGCAAACAACAGAATTGCTGGTTGATAAGCGGAAATTAAATCCCAGCGTGGGGTATGGGGTAGATTCATTTTGGTGTCTGTTAATAAACTTAAACGGTTTAAAAGGCGGAATATATTTTAACTACAGCCCGACGTTTCGCATGCTTTGCAGCGGCCGTGGTCGTCCGAAACCCCCGAAACGTAGTTAAAATATGTAGTAAATAGTTTTAAACAGTTGAAAGTGTTTTATTCAAAAATTAATCCCTCTCAGCTTACACGTGGTAAGGGGAACTTAAAATCAATGCTGGGAATGATGCAGATTAATTTATGTCTGTTTGAATAAAAAAAAATAGAGCAAAAACGTGAAATATCTTTCGTTTTAATGTATGTAGAGCTCGAAATTTTGGACGCTGTGCAAGTAACTACATATGTCGCGTTTCAAACCGTTGAAAATGTTTTTTTAGAAATTAATTCCTTTCAGTTTACACGTGGTAAGCGGTTGATTAATATTCATAAGTCAAGGCGCCACTTATCCCGGCATCTGCAGAAACGAGGCGATAGTTGTGAAATTAATTATTATCCACATAAATATAGTATTAAGGTTAAAAACTTATAACTAATATATATCGCGTTTTAAACCGTTAAAGTGTTTTATTTATTTTAGCTTTATTACTTATAATTAAATCTTATCTCCGATTGTTAGTAGTAAAGTTATTTTAGATATTAAACATAAACCTATGTCATACTAACCTATTTAAAATTATAATTACATACATTTTAAATGCTCTAACAGTAGCTAATCTTAAATGCAGCGAATCGACAACGCGAAAGTACCAATGTAGTAAAATTTGCATAACAAGAAAAACGAGAAAATGCAAACACTTCAGTGGAGCCTTAATCAGCATTCGCTCCTAATAGACGACGCAAATCATTTTAACATACGGAAACAATAAAGAAATTAATTTTATCTGTCAATATATACATCTTACATAGACACAAATTAAATATTTTCTGTAGTCTACGCGAGCAGTAAACATTTAAATAAAACAAGTGTTTTATTGTCATGTCAAAGTTAACAGTTTAAAATGCGTAACATTACATTAACTTAACGTCTTATGCTAGAGCAACAGCACGGAACGCTGACGATGCCGGTTCAAGTCCTGCCCGAGTCGGAAATTTTTTCCATTTATTTTCCATCTTTAAATTACATTAACTTAATAAAAAATTATTGAAACTAAAATATTTCACGTTTTAAACCGTCAAAGCGTGTTATTTAAAAGTCACAAGGTTGGCATTCTTCTTTTAGGTCTTGAGCACTACATGAACATTTTGAATGACAGCAGAAGGCAGATAAGCATGAGGCTGGAAGGAAATGCAACGCAATGATTTAAGTAGGGTCCAACACATAAAATTTATACAAATATACACTTTAAAAAATCATTTTTTCTCAATTATTAGTAATTATGGGAAACTGTATTTCAGATTAGCTTAGCTGTTCAAATTGATACGTGGCGTCATTAAACAAGCTGTTAAAAATATAACTAGGTCCAATTAAATTTGTTCCTACCACGCCCATGAAACACAATGGCTCTATCAAACGTAATATAACCAATTGTGGGCTCATGTAAGCCCAAATTGAGCCCTTTCGGTGGCTCGTGACGTCGTGACCTTAATATACTAATAGAATCATTCGTAACAATAACATAAGCATTACCTACGTTATTGTATTGCTACAATAATAGATTTAAAACATATCTAACGGTTTTAAACGTGCCACGTATTCCTTGAATAGCTGGTCCAGCAAACCAACCAACGAACCAAACCAAATAACGAATAATTGGTAATAATGCAATAATTTCACAGATATGACATAGATAATTTAAAGAAGAAATATTCTTTTAAACCATTTTCGCAGCGCCTGCGACTAAAGCTTTCATAGATAGAATAATATTTAGAATAACGTTCCCCTCTTTTCCAGTGTTTTTTTCCTATTGGTCGCATGATATAAAGGCCTTTCTTGAGAACTTGATCTATCCACAGCAAAAATAACCAATCAATTCGATTCAGTAGTTCCTGAGATTAGCGTTCTGGAACAAAGAAACAAACAAATTCTTCAAATGTTTCAATATTACTATAATTTATTTTATAACTGCCGCAACGTCGGAGCATAATTTAAACAATGAACAATATATTTCCCGTTTTGTGGGTGGGCCACTCGCGTGAACTACACAAAGTTTAGATTTAGATACATGAAGTGTAAATTTGTTTGTTAAATTCCCTTCGAAACTGCAGCTTTCATTGGTGCTCGATTCTTCTATTTACTTCCACAATGTTCATTAATGTTATCTCACTTTTGACGTTTAGTAGACTACCGTCCTAACGCGTACATGCCTCCGACGTTCTGTGAAATAAAAGACTATACAAATTTCTTCTAACGTTACATTAGTTTTAAAATGCGAAACATTCAGTTCATACAATGGACGTGACTGACCAAAACAAGGCTCGACAGCACTTCCTAATACACATTAATTCTTAAACCACGTAAAACTCGTGGTTTTCTTTCCTCTTCTGTTACCACTTTGACAGGAGGCCAGAGAAGCGTGGGGTCTACCTCATCAAAAGTCAAACATCAAAACAAGCTTCCCCTTCCATAATGCATAAATGCTAATAACATAGACTGGATAAAACCATAAACTAACGTCATTTGAAAT